ACTGACAGTCATTGAGACTAATTATGCAAGTGATCAGGCGCTTCGTGACAAAAATTAATCATGCATATTTCGAGGACTGGACAGGAGTATTTTTACGTCTTCATGCTTAAATGACAAAAAAGCTTAAAGGTAACAAAACATATTTTAAGATCTTCTGGCTCATGACACCTCTTCTAGTGGCATAAGAAGCCTGGAACAAAGAGGCTGATATGTTCCATTGTAATTTACTTGTCACATTTAGCATCCCAACTGTAAGCTAAGTAAGAGCTAGTGTCAGCATGCATCAGACAAACAGCGGCAAGTCACCCAAAATTTGCTTTCACTCTTACTTTCATATTTTGTAGCCCAATATGTCCTGATAATTGTGGTGTGTTTTTTTTGTGAAAATATATTTCAGTTTCCGAGAAATGTGTTTATTTTTCGACTTAAGTCGCGATTGGGAATTGGTCAATAGGCTACCAAAATCCAGACGGAGGCGGAGTTTTCTATACTAATGTCTGAACACTTTTTTGGCGTACAGCCGTCTGGCAGGACGCGTAATTATGCACACAGGGGTAAAGGGTCCTTCCGCGCCGCACACGTACAGACGCTGACAAGATTTGTCCTTGCTAAATTTCAAGTGTGTTGCACGTATCATCACCCCCCGGTGACACCTTTACATAACAGGGCAAAAACGACCCCTATAAAGTTATAAAAGGTACCCGAGTCTTATCTGAGTGTGAGTGGCAACAATTGATGTCTACCCTTAAAAAGTACCAATTCAAAAGCATAAAATTGAAAAATCCCAAAAATAAAAATTCCTCGATCGATGTGATCTATAGGCTCAAGTCCTAGTAATGCTCATTTCAGGTATTTTATTTAGCGAAAAACACCCTAAAACGTACCAGCAAAGTCTCTAGTAGTCCGCTAAAGTTTGAGACACCGTTAAATATACTAGATCGCTAATTTTGACCCCTAAAAGGTAGGACAAGCATCCCCACCCATTTCTTATCGCCTCTCCCCCCGGTCAGCACCTAAAAACAAAGATTTGCCCCCTAGGGAAAAAAAAAAAAAAAGAAAGTGATTTGCCCCAGTCGCCCCCACCTCAAAAATCCTATGATCCGTCCCTAAGGTACCTTTTACAAAATTCCAAAATGAGTTTCGTTCCGGAACGAAATGAATTTGATACCGTGTTTACATACAAGATAATTTAGCCTGTAAAAACAAGTATTTATGTCATTTTCTGTCTTTTTCTATGCTTCCCTCGCTCCTAAAGAGGATTCATATAGATATAATTGTTGTACCGCTTTTACATTATTCAGGTACTAAAGGTCGTCCAGAATGAGTGTTTTGTTTTGGAATGAAAACCCCAATAAACTCATTTAGAAATTACTCATTTCGAATAAATTTTACTCTGGAATCATGTGGCAACCGATATGAACTCGTCCTTGAACAAAACTCATTCGGATATCATTCCGTAAAAGGCCCCTGAAAGTTTTTATTCCCGAAGCATCACGCTTTGCTCTCCTGTCTGAATACTATAAATTTCAATAGCGTTGAAGCAACAACCCGCTCTTAACTGCTTCGCTGCCACTTACACAACTGACCACAAAAAGCACATATTCTAATATTTTCAATTCAACATAAGGAAAAATCTTTACATAGGATAAATATTCATTTGTGTCGGTATCAATTATTGCGTGACTAGCTTATGATATAAATGAGGGAGGGGAAAACACAACGCAAATCCTGGGCTCCTGTCAAAGAGTAATGCCCAGGCGTAATATAATAATCGAAACAGCTAGTAAAATCATAATTGAACAAGGTAAGAGTGTTATGTTAGATTCTTTTCACAAATTGTAGTGATTTATGCCAGTAAAGGCAAGTAGGCACATCATGTATATTTCATAGTTGCTAGCAAATAAATTTTCCCGAACTTTGAGTTCGTCTCACGATAGAACAACACAAATAAGCAAATCTTTACAGTAACTTTTCAACCATCCATTTTCCTACTAAAAGTTTGAAGCTCAGTAGATTCTTTCATATCGATCATTGTTTAAAACTGTCTTTGTTTTAATGTTACTTTTCGACATAGGAAAAGTATGTCGGGCAAAAATATTCACCAAAGAATAAATATTTCTTTTCCAGTTTTAATAATGACAGGGAATTAAGTTTAGATGAGAAAACAAAGGATTATGTTGACAGAAATACCGGAGGTCAAGTATATTCATTACATGAGGTCACACAACTCAGGTAATAGTCACGGTGAAAATTTGCATATTTGAGCGGTCGAACGAAAAAAATCATTTCTCGAAAACTAAAATATATTTTTATAAAAAAGCTACATCAAAATTACTAGGACATATTGGTTTACAAATATGAAAGTGGGAGTGAAATCGAATTTCGGGCGACTTGCCAGAATATTTCAAATTTGTGCGATGGATGCTGACATCCTCTCTTAAGAGCACTTGCAAAGTTAATATAAATTGACATTTCTCAGAAACACCGGAACATCTAATAACAAGCTATGCAAAGGTAAGGAACGCTGATTTTATTTATTGACCTTCAATTCGATCGAATGCTACGAGATGGATAAGACCATACCGTGTATGTCCATGTGGGTGATAAAGAGCGTGGAGAGCGCAGAGATTGTTGACTACTTTTGTGAACTGCGTAGAGGAATTGAAGCGAGGGGTTATCATCTATTTTGGAATCTGAACGCGGTCTCGCCTCAGACTTTCCTTTGGAAATCGTATCTTACCATTTTCAAATAAAGGAAAAGTCTTCCGTCATTTGTGTAACGCACCACAAGGAGATGAAAACATCCAGATGACGCTCTCCTTTTAGAATATTTTTCAACAATTGGCTGAGTCATGGGATGTTTGTTAGGATGTTTCTAGTAAATCACCGCAGTAATCGCCGATGCTACATGAATTGTGCACTCACTCTTGCTCCGTGGAAGGCGACCAATTTCTACGTTGTATCCTTTCGAAAGGTGGTTTTTCGGTGCGTTCAGAATAACAGGAAACACCAAGTTGTAGCCAGGTTAAGTTAAACAACTAGATGAGGTCGAATTAGTCTTACTTCTGGTGACCCGCTCCAATATCACTTCCCAGTCGTAGACTAACCTTTCTCTCATAGCCAAGGGTAAACATTTTTTTTTAAACAAAAACTTTATTACCAACGTAAAGTTTAACATTTCACTTCAATCTTTGATAAAAATGTTTTCTCACTTATCCTAGAGTTGTGATACATCGTACTCAAGTAGTAAAGAAGAAATAGAAGATTTCGACGAAGACAAACAAAGACGGTTTCTCGCCTGCGGTGTACATGTTCAGATCAAGATTAGAACAAAAAATTCCCGTTACTGAATCTTTAGCTCGTTGCCTTTTTGTTTTGTTTTCTACGCCGAAAACTATCTTAGGAATAGGTAGCTGTGTTCGTTTCTGTTGCCACAACATTTTATTCCCTTCGCACCATGTGCGGCGAAGGTTCCCCTCAGTTAGGGCTCTAGAGTTTCGATGCTGTAGGAAATTCCCTTAGTAAACCAAAGGCTAACTTTTGGCGAAAAATCAGCTGTATCACGAGGCAAGATGATTTTTCACCGAGAAGTCGTCGGGTGCTTTCACTGCAAGTTGCTCCTTTCCTCAGAGATTGCAAAGACAGTTTATAGTGATGTGATTCAAGTTAATCTCAAATAGGGATTTTAATTGAGCAAAACTTCTTTAGTGTTAGAGCAGTATTGTCATATGACCCATGTCGCTCAAAGGAAATAACTTACATCAGTATTGTATATTATTATTTCGTATGCACGAATTTTCAAGCAGCTCTTGGATTCGCTACCATCTACAGTCGAACCTCGATTATCCGGACTATTCGATTATCCGGACTTTTTTCTCTGGTCCCCATTTTTATGAATATTAATTAGTTGTGATCTTGAAAACCGAAAGTCGCAAAAAGCCCAATAATCTTTTCAAAAGATTGTTGAAACGGCGTATTATTCTGTGCGCTTTTCAAAATTCGAAAGTGCGACGAGACAAAGAAATATTCTGATGCGTGCAGCTGATATCTGATTGGCTCAATTGTTTTGTTACTACGTGAATTTCATGTTTGATTTGTTCCTTCCGCTTGGGTCATGTAAACACACGAGCGATCGATCGTAAACTCAAATCAAAAACATGTCTGCGAAGCGAAAGCGAGCCGTTCTATCGATTAAAGATAAGCAGACAATTATTTCACGTTTGGATAAAGGAGAGAAAGGAACAAATTTAGCTCAAGAATATAGCATCAGCAAGCAGCAGATCTCAGACATACGGAAGGACAACGACAAGAACCTAAAATCTACAGACAACATCGATACAAGCGAAGGATTAAAATGAATCATTGATATTCATGTTTTCGATTATCTGGGCTCTCGACTATCCTGACTATTTATCGAGGTCCCGACTAGTCCGAATAATCGAGATTCGACTGTAATTCAATAAAAATTTGCGTTTATTTATTTATGAAATTGCTACTGTACCAGAATGGTCAGGCTAAATAATATGAAATTACTTGTACAAGTATGTCCTTACCATCTAAACCGTTATACATCAGTATATTGTTCATTACTTGTATAATTAACCTTACACTTTGTGGATGGAAAGTATAGTTTTCAGTACGCACATGGATAAGAAAAAATAAAGAGAAGTACCCTGAAACATATACAACCCTTATCCAGCAAAATCATTTTACATCAGTATAATTTTATTCTTCCGTATACACAATGTATAATGCTTCATTCCATCTCCTTATATTCGACATTTCATACAGTGATTTACAGAGCACAGTTTAGTTTATATTCTACGATTTTTCCGGGAAAGCATGTAGGCTATGTAGACATCACAGGCCGCAGCAATGTTGACAAGGGCCACTTCAAATGGTTTGAGCGGGTATCCCTTCAAATCCTCGCCTCTTTCCAAACCCTCATTACCATCTATATATCTTTCGGGAAGCTTAGAGACTAGCGAGCGTATACTACGCAGCAGAACATTGTGTCGGCTCACTGAGTTACGAAACTGCTCGAGAATCCCTTTGATCTCTTCGTATTCCTTATGCTGCTCTGCATATCTTTTTTCATTTGAATGAGCCACAGCCATCGGTACGCCCAGCGTGACAGTAGACAAGGCACCTTCAAACATTCCTGCACCAAATCCTGCGCAACTAGCGAGAACCTTTCCAAAAGTGTGGGGTTCTGTGTCTGCAAACTGGAAAGCTCTTATAGCAGGGCCAGCGATCATGCCAAGTACTGGTATGGCGCAGATTTTGGTGAGTTTAGCTTCGTGGAAGGACTGGGTCGCTTCGTCTAGTTTTTCCTCAACCAGTCTAGAAATGTTGGAGATGTCTCGTGTAACTTTTGAATACATACCAGAGATATCGTATCCAGAGCCAATGTCCAGCCATTCAGCTGTTTCGTGGGTTATGTTTGCAAGGTTTCTAGCCTTTCGGACGTACTTCAAGGCTTCATTTTCTATGGCCTCACACATATTCTTTATTTTGCCAATGTCCCCCAGAATCTCATGATCAAGCACTAAACTGTATTGATTTATGAAACACGCTAGTCTCTTTGAAATTTCCAAGGAGTTGAGTTCCATTAACTGGCCATAGAGCTCTTTAGCTGACTCACAATGTCGTTGGAAATCCGCCATGTTAAAATTTCTTCAAAGTGTGTTGATCAATCTTTCAGAGACATACGAGTTGTCGCTAAGGGCGCTGGCTAATTACCGCGCGTCCAATGATATAAATGTTTTCGTAGTAACTGTCAATGTTACCTCCGCAAATAAGTGCAATGATCATAAAATCCGACAGATTCTTTGTCATGTAAATTTTCTGGTGAGAGTAACCCAGGAAAAAGGGTAAGAAGTAACAAAAGAACGAAAGCATGTTTTACATACATTTGGGCCTATCCGCACCAGCAGACGAAATTAAAATTGTCCCGACAAAATCTAAGGACAAATTTTTTCTCCTTTAATGCATCTGCACTAAAAATGTCGAAGCTGTCAAAAAGCTGTCAAATTTGATTAACAGCCAAAAATAACACCGATGTTATATTTCATTGTAATTTATTCAATTTAATTGTGCGCACCAAAACATCAAACCTCTTAGCGCATTTTTTTAATTTTTTAATTTTAATTTTTATTTTGGATTAACTGCAGAATACACCGCCTCTTTGTGTGATGTTCATCTTAAACTAGTGACGTTTTCATATAACCTGAGAGGGGAATGGAGGAAAAATAATGAATCAACGCAGACTTGATCTACAACATGGCTCGTCAAACACTATTGCACCGCCAGCTCCCTTCGATTTAAAAAATCCCGAAGATTGGCCTAAATGAATACGACGCTTCAAGCGATATTGCATATCGACCGAACTCAACAACCTCTACAGATAAATACAATGATGTACTGCATAGCCAACGAGGCAAACGACATTGTCATTGTTCTACTTTCGCGGAGGGAAACGAGACGAACCATGCCAAAGTGAAAGAGAAATTCGATCAACATTTCATCGTCAAGAGAAACGTGATCTTCGAACGTGCAAAGTTCAACATGAGGACACAAGAACCCGGTGAGCCAATCGATGTATTTATAACAGACCCGTACGGTTTGTCCGAGCACTGCGAATTTGGAGCCATCCGAGAAGAACTGATTCGTGATCGTCGTGGTGGGGTTACAAGATGTAAAGCTAAGCGAAAAACTCCAAATAGATTCAACGAAGTCTCACGCTTCAATCAACCACAAACAAAGCGAGGCAGAACGAGTCGGTAAGAAAGCAGCAGGGAATTCTTCGACGCGGAGTTTCACCAGCTTCACCAGAAACTGACGACGTTAACGAGGCGAAAGGGAAGCCAGACCAACGACCTCGCGATCCGCAGGATAAAAAGCAGACAAAATGCATGCGTTGCGGTAGTACTTCGGAAAACCATTTGCGTCTGAAATGCCCCGCGAGGGATGCTACGTGCGTGAGATGTTACAAACGAGGTCACTTTGTAAAAGTCTGTCTCTCGACCCCGAAGAAATTTGGCGCAATCGCGGCTGACGACCCAGAGGAGCAAGACGAAATTACCAGCGATGATGATGGCTTTTCCCTCGGAGGGATTGAAAACTGGAAACACAATCCGGAAAACGAATCACTAGAGCGAAGACGTCAAAGTGAATGGCGTGACGATTAAATTCAAATTAGACACGGGCGCTGACGTGACAGTAATTAAAGACTCGACCTACACTCGTTTCTTCCGCAAAAACTAACTCAAGAAAGCACATAAGAAGCTATTCGGGCCGTGCAAAAGCAAACTTCACTTCTTTGAATCCTCTTTGCTTTACATGGACTTTGACTCCTAGTGCGAGCAGAAATGATTCGTCGATCACGAAGTATTTACTGCCACCTTTCAAGATCGGCTTGAAACTTTTTGGCCAGTTAATTTCTCCATCAGAAGATTCATCCATTGTCAAACTCAACACCCTGATTTTGCAACATAACTAACCACAAGAAATTGTAGATCGGCAGATCGCCTCAGCTGAATTTTGTCCTTGCGGCGTGGAACGCGAACGGATGTTTACAAATTGTGAATGAACTATTGTCAAGAAGCAACCAATTGCGTGTCGTGTCTTGCTTGTTGTCAGCAGTCACGCAAGCCGACCACCAATCACGCGGCGTTCGCTGATCGATCGATCCACAAAGTCGACTGAATCAAGCAAAACAGAGGTAATGTTTATAACCAAAGAAACGAGAAGAGGAACAAAAAGTAAAAAATGTCCCGAAATCGACTCTCAAGTCGCATTACAACACTTCAAGGGGGTTTGTTTACGCGAGTCGTTACGTGCATTGAAAACTCTACAACGTATTTTATTAATTTATTATACTCATTACTCGTACTTTTATTTTTTCCACTGGATAAAAATATCTCAGAAAGCATCAAAGCAAGTTCTCAATGATTTAAGAACCCTGTTTAAAATCTATATGGTATATTTATACCGCTTGTTCTCTTAACTTCACATCGCAAATACCGTACTATGTTAAAATACGCGAGCTCCGTTTGGGGGCGCGCGGCGCATGCAAAGTTTAATTTTCACGCAGCTCTTGGATTCGCTACTATCCAATTCAATAAACATTTGCATTTATCTATTTATGAAATTGCTACTGTACCAGAATGGTCAGGCTAAATAATATGAAATTACTTGTACAAGAAACCCTTCAAGTATGTCAAGTATGTCCTTAACCATCTAAACCGTAATACATCAGTATATTGTTCATTACTTGTATAATTAACCTTACACTTTGTGGATGGAAAGTATAGTTTTCAGAACGCACATGGATAAGAAAAAATAAAGAGAAGTACCCTGAAACATATACAACCCTTATCCAGCAAAATCATTTTACATCAGTATAATTTTATTCTTCCGTATACACAATGTATAATGCTTCATTCCATCTCCTTATATTCGACATTTCATACAGTGATTTACAGAGCACAGTTTAGTTTATATTCTACGTTCGATTTTCCGGGAAAGTATGTAGGCTATGTAGACATCACAGGCCGCAGCAATGTTGACACGTGCCTCTTGAAATGGGTTGATCTGGTAATCCTTCAAATCCTCGCCTCTTTCCAAACCTTCTTCACCATCTATATATCTTTCGGGAAGCTTAGAGACTAGCGAGCGTATACTACCCAGCAGAACATTGTGTCGGCTCACTGAGTTACGAAACTGCTCGAGAATCCCTTTGATCTCTTCGTATTCCTTATGCTGCTCTGCATATCTTTTTTCATTTGAATGAGCCACAGCCAACGGTACGCCCAGCGTGACAGTAGACAATGCACCTTCAAACATTCCTGCAACAAATCCTGCGCAACTAGCGAGAACCTTTCCAAAAGTGTGGGGTTCTGTGTCTGCAAACTGGGAAGCTCTAATAGCAGGGCCAGCGATCATGCCAAGTACTGGTATGGCGCAGATTTTGGCGAGTTTAGCTTCGTGGAAGGACTGGGTCGCTTCGTCTAGTTTTTCCTCAACCAGTCTAGAAATGTTGGAGATGTCTCGTGTAACTTTTGAATACACACCAGGGATATTGTATCCAAAGCCAATGTCCAGCCTGTCAGCTGTTTAGTGGTTTTTTTTTGCAAAGTTTCTAGCCTTTCGGACGTACTTCCAGGCTTTATTTTCTATGGCTTCACACATACCCTTTATTTTGCCGATGTCCTCCAGAATCTGATGATCAAGCACTAAACTGTATTGATTTATGAAACGCGCTAGTCTCTCTGAAATTTCCAAGGAGTTGAGTTCCATTAACTGGCCATAGAGCTCTTCAGCTGACTCACAATGTGGTTGGAAATCCGCCATGTTAAAATTTCTTCAAAGTGTTTTGATCAATCTTTCAGAGACATACGAGTTGTCGCTAAGGGCGCTGGCTAATTACCGCGCGTCCAATGATATAAATGTTTTCGTAGTAACTGTCAATGTTTCCTCCGCAAATAAGTGCAATGATCATAAAATCCGACAGATTCTTTGTCATGTAAATTTTCTGGTGAGAGTAACCCAGGAAAAAGGGTAAGAAGTAACAAAAGAACAAAAGCATGTTTTACATACATTTGGGCCTATCCGCACCAGCAGACGAAATTAAAATTGTCCCGACAAAATCTAAGGACAAATTTTTTCTCCTTTAATGCATCTGCACTAAAAATGTCGAAGCTGTCAAAAAGCTGTCAAATTTGATAAACAGCCAAAAATAACACCGATATTATATTTCATTGTAATTTATTCAATTTAATTGTGCGCACCAAAACATCAAACGTCTTAGCGCATTTTTCAATTTGTTAATTTTTCTTTTTATTTTGGCTTGACTGCAGAATACACCGCCTCTTTTGTGTGATGTTTATCTTAAACTAGTGACGTTTTCATGTAACCTGAGAGGGGAATGGAGGAAAAATAATAAATCAACGCAGAATTGATCTGATCTGCACCGCCAGCTCCCTTCGTTTTAAAAAATCCCGAAGATTGGCCAAAATGAATACGGCGCTTCAAGCGATATCGCATATCGACCGAACTCAACAACCTCTACAGATAAATACAATGATGTACTGCATAGCCAACGAGGCAAACGACATTGTCATTGTTCTACTTTCGCGGAGGGAAACGAGACGAACTATGCCAAAGTGAAAGAGAAATTCGATCAACATTTCATCGTCAAGAGAAACGTGATATTCGAACGTGCAAAGTTCAACATGAGGACACAAGAACCCGGTGAGCCAATCGATGTATTTATAACAGACCCGTACGGTTTGTCCGAGCACTGCGAATTTGGAGCCATCCGAGGAGAACTGATTCATGATCATCGTGGTGGGGTTACAAGATGTAAAGCTAAGCGAAAAACTCCAAATAGATTCAACGAAGTCTCACGCTTCAATCAACCACAACAAAGTGAGGCAGAACGAGTCGGTAAAAAAGCAGCAGGGAATTCTTCGACGTGGAGTTTCACCAGCTTCACCAGAAACTGACGACGTTAACGAGGCGAAAGGGAAGCGAGACCAACGACCTCGCGATCCGCAGTATAAAAAGCAGACGAAATGCATGCGTTGCGAAAGTACTTTGGAAAACCACTTGCGTCTAAATGCCCCGCGAGGGATGATACGTGCGTGAGATGTTACAAACGAGGTCACTTTGTAAAAGTCTGTCTTTCGACCCCGAAGAAATTTGGCGCAATCGCGGCTGACGACCCAGAGGAGCAAGACGAAATTGACAGCGATGATGATGGCTTTTTCCTCGAAGGGATTGAAAACTGGAAACACAGTCCGGAAAACGAATCACTAAAGTGAATAGGTCAAAGTGAATGGCGTGACGATTAAATTCAAATTAGACACGGGCGCTGACGTGACAGTAATTAAAGACTCGACCTACACTCGTTTCTTCCACAAAAACTAACTCAAGAAGGCACTTAAGAAGCTCTTCGGGCCGTGCAAAAGCAAACTTCACTGCCTGGATATAATTCAAGCAAAACTGCGACTAAATGGATACTCGCGTGACGAAGACGTTTACGTTGTTGAACATCTGGAGACCCCGTAACTAGAAAGATGGGCTTGTTTAGCACTGGGCACCGTTGCCAAAGTTGGAGCTATGACACAATCAGCCGACGATATCAAAGCACGCTTCCAAGGTTTTCAGTGGCCTGGTCTGTATGGAGGGAGAATACGAGATTAAATTGACAACTTCGCATAAACCTTTCAACCAAACCATTCTCAGACGCTTTCCAATACCACTATTCCCAAAAGTCAAAGAAGAGATGGCCCGAATGGAAGTCATGGGAGTGACCGAAAAGGTAGATGCCCCAACCGAGTGGTACTCACCTGCCGTGGTAGTTCCGAAATTCAAATGGAAAGGTACGGATATGTGAGGACTTTATCCACCCCATGCCTACAACAGGGCAGACCCTTGGGAAGCTGGCAGGCGCGAAAGTTATCTCCAAGCTAGGCGCAAACAATGACTTCTGGCAGCGAAAATTGAAAGACAGGCCAAAGCTCCTTACCACATTCATAACCTCCCGGGGTCGATACTGCTAAACTCGTCTTTCATTAGGGATTTCCTCTGCTCCGGAGCACTTTCAAAAGAGCATGCAACGGATCTTAGAGGGTCTCCCGGGTGTCGAGTGTCAGATGGACGATATCATCGTGTATGATGCGAACCAAGCAAAGCACGACGAAAGGCTTGAAACTGTCCTTATTAGGCTTCAAGAGGCCAATGCCACAGTCAATGGGGAGAAATGCGAGTTCTCGAAAGCGACCTTTCAAATCTCTGGGCCAACTGGTGGGCAGAGAGGGAATCCGCGCTGATTCAGGCAAAGTTTCAGCAGTGAAGCACATGGCTGAGCCGACTGATATACATAAGCTCCGACGATTCCTCGGAATGGTGAATCAATCAGGAAAGTACATTCCGAACCTGGCTGAGTTCACCCACCCGCTCAGGGAACCTCTTAGCAAGAAGAACGCATAGGTTTGGGGTCAGCCCCAACAGCACGCATTGAGTGTAGTCAAAGAGAAATTGAGCTCCCCACCAGCCCTCGCGATTTTTGATCCTGCCCTTGAGACTATCCTGTCCGCTGATGCATCTAAGTATGGCTTAGGTGCGGTCCTCTACTAAAAACAGAGTGATGGGAAGTGGAAGCCAGTAGTGTGCATATCTCGCGCACTCCCTCCAACCGAAAGGAGATATGCCCAGATTGAAGAAGAGGCCCTCACCACCACATGGGCTTGTGAGACATTGGCAGACTACCTTATCGGAAAACAGGTCCACATCGAAACAGACCGCAAGCCTCTGGTCCCAATCCTTGGATAAAAGAACCAAGAAGAGATGTCGCCACAGATACAACGCCTTCGCATGCGCCTGTTGAGATTCGATTTCTCACTGATCACCGCTGACACGTTATTCAGAGCCCCTGTAGCCCGGCAGGACGATCAGTACCGTACTGAAGAGGAGATCGATTTATACGTCCAACACGTATCGGCCTCCCTTTCGGCCTCCAACACACAGTTTGAGCGAATCAGAGAAAAACAAGAAGACGAAGTTTGTCAAACACTGAGGCAATACTGCAACGAAGGTTGGCCAGATAGTACCAGAGTACCAGACGCACTTAAACCTTACTGGCAGACTAAGGATGATCCCTCGGTTGTCCATGGATTGCTCCTGAAAGCTGAACGGATTGTAATCCCAACTGCCATTAGTTTGGAGATGGCACTCTTGTACGCTTTCGCGTACAAGAGGGCCATCAAGGTGTTACGAAATGCAGAGAAAGAGCGAAAAGGGCGCTGTGGTGGCCAGGTCTACTGAACGAAGAATTAACAAAAAAAGAGCTCATGATCCCAAGTGTAGTCCCGGATAGTTCATCGAGGTCAGTTACTTGCCATCCCTCTCCTCGTCTGAAACGATAAGTGCCCTCAAATCTGTGTTTACCAGACGTGGTATACCGGAAGTGGGAGACTGAGAGACCTGATCTTTAGACTGTGACATCTAAAGATACAATATTATTCAACACATTTTCTTTTGTTATTATCATTCGTGACATCCCTAGAGACAATATTATTCAACATGTTTTCTTTTGTTATTATCATTTGTTAAAACGTATCAGACGAAGAAACAGTTTAAATTCTTAGTCTGTATTTTGTGTTCAGTCTGCACTCTACATTTTGTACGCGGTCTGCAGTCTGCGGTCTGCATTTTGTACCGACTGAATGACGAAAAAGCTAAAAGGTAGCAAAATATATTCCAAGTTGTTCAAGCTCATTACACCACACCTAGTGCGTAAGAAGTAGAGCCTGCCACAATGTAAACGCTGATGTCCCACACTAATTAACTTGTCATCTGTAAGCTAATTTAGAACACTCGCACAGTAAATTAAATTAATATTTCGCAGAAACACGGGTACATCTAGCACAAGCTATACAAAAGTAAAGAACACTGATTTTATTTATTGACCTTCGAATACTACGAGATGGATGAGATGATACCGTGTATGTCCATGTGAGTGATAAAGAGCGTTAAGCACGCAGAGATTGTTGACAACTGTTGTGAAGTAAGAAGCGGAAGCGAGGGCCCACCATTATTTTTTGGAATCTGAACGCGGTCTCGCCTCAGACTTTCTTCAGGAAATCGTATCTTACCTTTTCAAAATAAGTGAAAAGTCTTCCTTAATTCCTGTATACACGTATGAAAATGACCCGTCGGATTTTTCTTTTGACCAAGGGAAAATGCGCAAGCATTTAGTTTAATGTTTGGAGAAAGGTCGTTTTTTAACCTTTTCCGCGATAGTCCCACCGCGATAGTCACACCGCTAGATTAAATAAGAGACAAATTTGTACCGCTTATTTATTTTGTTATTGTTCAATGCCCAAGTGTTGGGATAACATGGTACAGTGCAAGTTGTGTAAGGAATGGTTGCAAATGAGCTGCGAGGGATTTAAGACTGCCCCGAAGGGCGAGTGGCTCTGTATTGTCTGCAGACCGCCAGACTCTAGACGTCTCCGTAATTGTTAAGGTCTTATTTGGGATACCTCAACAGTTAATAATCGTTGAAATTAGAAAATAAGATTGAGTTCGATGTAATATTCTCCACTCTTGTTAAGATGTTGACATTAATGTTGATTTGCATTTGAAAATAAGCTGAGAGTTCCAATAGTTCAGAATAGAAACATTTTTACTTCGTTCTTGTTCAGAAACTGTCTCAGACTGAGTTATTTTTCTGACTGGACGCAACAGTCTCCACTATTGTTATAACGTTTTGTATCGATATTAATCCGCATCAGAAGAAGCAAAGATTCATTGTAAAAATTTCAATGGCTCGAATGCAATAGTTCGCATCTAATTCTTGCGTATTCTGTACGACTCGACCTTTACAGAGGAATGTCGTGTTGTAATTGAAAAGAACATCGACAAAAAACTTGCTAGTAGATTTAGTTACCAAATATGATATGAACGATGCTTAAAAGGAAAGTTTAGTAGGGGGGTCCAAATCTGCGAAGGGGGTTCCAAATCCGTTGTGATACCGGCTCGACGACGATGCCTTTGCAATCTCTGAGGAAATGAGCAACTTGCAATGAAACTGCCCGATGACTCCTCGGCGAAAAATCATCGTGCCTCGTGATACAGCTGATACTTTCGTCAACAGTTAGCTTTTGGTTTGCTAAGGGAATTACTCAGTCTACAGGAACGAAGCTCTAGAGCACTGACCAAGGGGAATCTTCGCCGCACTTATTGCGAGGGAATAAAATGTTATGGCAACAGAAACGAACAGAGCTGCCCATTCTTGACATAGATTTCGCCATAGAAAATAAAGCACAAACGCAACAAACAAAATATTCAGTGACGGGAGTTTTTTGTTCTAATCTAGACCTGAACACCGCGGGCGAGAAACCGTCTTTGTCTCTCTTCGTCGAGATCTTCGTTTGATGCTCGCAGTTCTCCTTCAAAGGGCTGAACCGTGCTCGCAACTTCCATTTCTTCTTTGCTACTTCAGTACGATGTATCACAACTTTCGGTAGAAGTTGCTGAAGGTAGATAGACATCGTTATCGGACATTATTTCAAGAGTATTTCAACGCTGACCGTTTACCTATTGTTTACTTAATGATACCAGTTAGGCTAAAAAATGATAATAAGTATAAACTTAATGAACCCAATTATTGGTAAGAATCAGTTTCTCTTTCCCTTTTTATATCATTAGGATAAATAAACATAAAGATGCCTCCAAGCCAATAGGATCAACTGGCAATAAAATATTGGATTTTTCTTTTAATAACTCACATTATTGATTTACAGTACTAACCAAATGTTTCATTTGACATAATAACCAGTCTGAGTATCACTATTATTTTTGTTCATTTTATTACTATTTTTAAGGCCATAACCTAAATTGAATATGTTTCAGAGATCTCTCCTTTCTATTTATTTATTTCTTTATTATCATTACTTTATTTCTTTATTGTTTTTGTCTTGTCATGTTTTGTTTTGTTTTGTTTCATTTATTTATTTTTTTTTTGGGGGGGGGGGTGGGGTTTGTGGTAGAGTTAAATAAATTTCGAGCCAACAAATGTGAACAGAGTAAAGGTAAAGAATCCGATCCTACCTCCAGCTTCTCCAAGGTGCTTTGAAATGTCACCTCATTGACACTTCCCAGCTCTGCTATACCAAGAAAGTCTCTGATAGTGCTACTTGCTGTACCTGCCAGTCCATAAGCATTGTTTAGGCTACATTTTTTCTCCTGGAGGTCGACAACACCGCCGCTTAGCGTCGATGGATTTCGATGAAGGTCGTTGCGGTCAACCTTCCCAGCAGCTTCATGGTTTACAGGTGATGGCACAGCAGAATTCTGCATTGCTCGTGGCGGCTGCTGCTCTAAGACCTTTATCCGCTCATCTTTTCCCCTTCGCTCCTCCTTATACGCGGCGACACGCTGCTCACTATGCCGGACCAGGTCTGTCATTTCGTCGGCGTCTTGCTGGGCCTGGGTTAGCTGCTCGTCCTTGTCTTGGCTGCTCTTTTCCAATTCATCGAACTGTGCCTTCAGACTTTTGTAGGCTTTGCCAACTTGCTGGTTTCTTTGAGTCAGCTGTTTACAAATAGATTTGTAGTTCGGAGACTGTGGCTGCTCTTTCTCTGCGGCTCTCTTTCCTGTTTTCTGCCTTTTTGCGGGTGGTTGTTGACAATCAGTGCATTCCAGTGTGACCAGCTTACCCACAGACAAGTTGCAAGTTGCAAAAGATACTATTGTTTTTTTGTGAATCAGAGGCTTTTAGCGAGCTGTCAGCATTGTTCTCGCTGTGGTTCTGATATGAAAGTAGCAGAGACAATATGGGTAAACGACGGATACATATGGCCAGATAAGCGATGTCGAATGTGGCTTTCAGTAAGGTCAGGGTCCATCTTCGAGAGATCTAACATTCCGTTAAGTACCTGGCTACACTTGATGTTCCCATGGGCTACGCAGATTTCGGGGAGCAAAATCTCGTGGCTTACCAGCCTTTCAAAACCTACTGTGATCAGGGCGCTGAGATCAATCTGTTCCAACAAGATCCTGAATGCTGAAATTAAACTTGGAGGTGTAGGTAAGACTGTGGAGATAGACAAGTCCAAGTTTGGTGCCAAGAGAAAGTATAAGAGAGGGAGAGTATCGGAAGGTCCATGGGTGTTTGGGGTAGTGGAGCGAGAATCGCAGAGAGTGCCTGTCTTCCGTGTTCCCGACAGAACTGGGGAGACACTTGTGCATCGCCTTATCACCACACATATTCTTCCTGGAACTATCACTGATCTCCTCTGATCAATTCACTTTGTACATACCATTCAATCAGCCAGGATGCATCCATCCATCGATGAATCACTCCAAGAACTTTGTTGATCCTGACAGAGGTGCACACACTAATACGATCGAAGGCGTGTGGGCCTTGATCAAGAAGAAGTTGAATTGGATGTATGGTCCCTAGTGCGAGTACATACCAAACTACTTAGATGACTTCACCTGGTTCAGGAACTTCGAAAGAGGCCGAGCATTCGAGCAGCTACTTGGAGACATCGCCGAACAGTTTCCAATACGGTAAAACTCCAATTAAACTGCTCCTTTAGGAGCCACCACAAATTAAAAAGTCAATGATCAATAAAGATTTTGCCCTTTCCAAATCTTACTAATGAACAAAAAGTAATCAAGTCGATGAGATCAGTGTGTCGGCCGACACTTTAATAAATTCCCTTGGTATCCGTACTTTGAAAAAAAACGAGAAGACCCAGGTACTTGTATTTCGTTTTCAAAATGGCGGTGATTCAGATTTCTTTTCCTATGAGGTAGATCTTGCCTCCAACGCGTGGGTAGTGTTTCAAAATTGGCGGCGATTCAGAGTTCCTTTTGTTACGAGGTAGTGTCGATAGTGTGTCGGCCGATTTTACCAACATGTCGGTAGTGTGTCGGCTGATTAATTCCCTTTTTTTCCTATGAGGTAGATCTTGCCCCCAACGCGTAGGTATTGTTTCAAAATTGGCGTCGATTTAAAGTTCCTTTTCTTATGAGGTAGTTTCGGTAGTTTGTTGGCCGACGCTTTGGTAGTGTGTGGCTGGTGTGTCGGTAGTGTGTCGGCCGACGCGCTGGTGGGATCGGATTCTTTACCCTCACTGTAACCAGCGTAATGATAACCTGGCAAAACAGAGAACGCTTAAGATCTAATTGTTCATTTGCATAACTCTGAGGAGGACAAATTATTATCAATGAAATAAAGGATGTATCCTTACCCTGTACCTGAAATCACTATGAGAAACTGTAATCAGCTGAGCTGAACCATGCATTAGAAGTTGCGGTTTTTAGCTCAACAACATTTTCAATGCCTTCCTAATTCTTAATTTGGGGATTATTAATTAACTGCCCAACTTTGGACCAAATTTCGCTTACAACAAAAAAGAATCATTATCCTTATTTTGTCAGCTTCTGCTTTAGAAGTGGAAGACCAAGCTGCCAAAAGAAAAGAAATTTTATTACAACCATTAGCAAGTTACACATGTGCAAACATTACACACATATCTACATATCCTTGCTCGTCACTTTCAATTTCTTCAGCAGAATGTTCATCTGTGGCTGTTTCGACTTCCCTTCATGATTTGCTTTTTCTGTCTGATGAATCAAAGGAACAGAACAAAACATACATAATACAAACTGTGCCAGATACATTGAAAGAGCTCCAATATGTATTACATAATAAATCAGGAAACAAAATTTAAACATATATTACTTATTGTTTCACGGTAGCAAGCTTTTTGCATGAGCCAGTCACTTAGTCAGCTCTCCATTTGGCACTTTTAAACTCTAGCCTTTTATTTTCTGATTTCCATGACCAATTAGCTTCAGTTTAGGACACTTGCTGGAGGGGATATCTACTTTTAGAAATGTTTATGGGATTCTTTGTTGCTGTAGCAGTTTCAAAATCCGGTTTTCTTTCTTGAGAACTGAATTGGGTTTGTAATGTCAGGCCAGTCAAAGGAAGATAACCGACAATAAATCAAGAAGTAAAAATTATCTTAAGACAAAGAAAACAATGATCTTAAGATGATAAAAATTCAAACCATGGCAAGAGAGAGTTTCCAAGGCAGCGCCCTCGCTTCTCTCTGATTATTTTAATGGATATTCTCCGCATTCTCCCGCTAAAGCATGTGATAAAGATATTCTAGAATCTCATTTCTTAGATTCTGCTCATATTTTACAAAATTCTCACGTTTTTTGTATCTCCGTGAGGCTGGAGAATCAAGATATCTGTCAACCTCAAGTTGAAACATGTCAATGACTTTCTTCAGCTACTGCTGTCCTTACCTCCACTAACGCCACAATCTTGAATCTATCGCAGGGAAAAAGGAATGATTGATAAGATTTTCGTGTAAGAATCGGACAAGTATGATAGCAGAACACAAGAACGCAAGAAAGTCATTTTTCTTGTGTTGTTTTTAAAATTGTGTCTCTCATAATGATTTCCTAATTATTTCCTGGTGGGAACAGTGAGTTTAGTAGATTCGAGAAAAGCAAACGGAAAAGAAACCTTTTTTTCTCAATAAATTAAAAATTGTGCTATGATCACAGTTAGGTAGTCACCTTAGTTGCCTAAATCAAATATATCTCTTTGTAACAATAAGAGTAATTATTTCTGTTCTGTCATCAATTTAATTGTCTGCTAAATTTGAGAAAACTTTTTAGAGTTTCTACGCAAAATTCAATATTACAGATGACCGCTGGTAATAAGCCTCGTCATTTGTTCATTTTTTTTTAAAAGCGACCAGGATATTCTATTTCTAGAGTTTTGATTTTAGGATACTCATCCTCAAGCTCTCTAAGCTCATTATAGGTTTCCAGCTTTGCGTATTGCACACTTCAAAGTTATCGATATATGACAAAGATATCTTTTGTTTCCACCGTAAACAAAATGCTTTTTGAAACAGTTGCAAACAACTGAAAAACTTATTTCAATTTTTGCAGTCAGCCAAGCTTCCTCAAGTTATTATCATTTTTTTTTTTACTGTTAGACTATTACCTATAGTGATCAGATTCCAATAAATAACTTCAAATCAGCTAAGAATAATGTGCTGAGTCATTTCTCTTTTATTCTGCAGTTTAAAATTACCTGTATATGATATATTTTAAGTTTATGTAGCCATTACTGCAAATTGTTATTTACCCTGCGTAAAGTGCATGTCGCCGAATAAAACTCAATTTCGTCCGGTTATTACGTTTTATGGACCGAGGCTATTCTTGCGTCCGACCTCAAACACGTGAAACAGAATGAAGCCAGTATTCGCCCATCTTCCACCAACAATTTGATTAATAAAAAGTTTCCAGTGAGAGAAATATTGCACTCAGGATTTAAATGAGACATCATCGTGTTTTACTTTTGTTAGACTGTCTAGAAGACATGTTAGCGTTTTTCCTTGCAAATAAATTCGGAAAACATGTTCCTTCTAAATCGTGGGTTCTGCATAAGTACGGGTGTCAGTAAGCTGGCCATGACTTATTATTTTTTTTGTTTCCTCCATAGGATGCAATAAAAGCGAGAAATAGGAATTAACAAGATGGACTTATCTTAAGCGTTCTAGTAATCAATCAAAAGTCAATCTTTGTTTGAACTTTTATCCATTTTTTTTTTCTCTTCATTATTTTTCTTACTTTGTGCTCAAGAGGGCAGAGGCGATTATTTGTTCTCTGAAGTGTTTAAACGCAACGAGGTGCAATTCGCAAAACGTCCACGACACATAGTGAGCAAGACTCATTTCAAGGCCTCAGACGTTAGGAAACCCGCATTTGTCTCGTATTTTCGACCCCATGTCCCTTTCATGGCTCACACGTTTTTAGCCAGGAAAGACTTTGAGACGTCAATTGTCTAGAGAGAAGCTTTTTAAAGTAAAGTCACGAAATGGCCATGGCTTTGTAAGATTAAGCTGCTCCGTATGGATTCTTTTGATTTCCTTTAAAGACTGGTCATTCCAAGTGCCAATCCATACAGTCTGTATCAATGATTTTCAAGTAAACAGTACCTCAGGACATTCAATTGCTAATGACTATCTGATCCATTTTTTAATTTTTTTGGTTGAATTCAAAACTAGCATGACAGCGAAAAGGAAAATGATTCGGTACATTGATGCATTCAGTATTTGAAAATATGTAGATATGTAGCCCCTCTTCTTATTTATTTATAACAAAAGCAATCAGAACGTTGCCAAGTGCGGAAGTCAAGCGAATCAGAATGACGAGGGTTACCTCCAAAGAAGTTTCTGCGTTTAAGCGACAAAGAGAATCTTGTGAAATTGTTAGAGACATCTTTGAATGTTGTTCAAGTTGCAGTAAACATGCATGAAAAACAAAACTAAACATCAAATTGAATTTAGATGTAAAATGCAATAAGATAAAAAATTCTTGCTGCTGGTGAATCATTTGATCGTTTTCCTACTTTTAAAACCTCTTTATTTCAGAAGATGGATATTGGAAACATGGGCTTGCAATGTGCAAGTATTAACCTTGTAACTATCTTGGAAAAAGAAAAAAGAAAATTGACAATATTTTTTTTTTCCTTGGGAATAAACAAAAACTCAGCAAAGCTTCCCGGCCATTGCCGTCGCTTCTTTCAGTGCACTATTAAGAAAGTCATGATTGCATGATGGTGATGTTAGTTTTTTGTCCAAAGTTTCTCCTAAACTACATATTCAATAAACATATTTATCAAGTAAACTGCGGTGTTATACAGGGATTTCCGGCTCTTAGAAAAGTCGTAACTACACACGTGAAAAAATATCGTATTTTTTCAAGTGTGTTGATATAGCCAATCACCTGCTGACACGTCACTCGCCTTTAGCGTCACTAGGTCAGGTTGATGAATAAACGCCAAAGCCTTCACGATTCTCAATACAAGTTGTATGTCGGAGCTTTCTCGAATTGTGGCGACTAAAACGCAAACGAAAATCGACAACTGGAAGATTTGCTATAGCCGCAAACGCTAATCACTCGTATTTCAAACTTTACTAGAACAAACTTGACACATTGTTGAATACGGTAACTGAAAATGACAAAATTACAAACACGCGAATGAGCATAAAATAACTTACATGGTATGAGTGAAAGTACTGGAAAACGACAAAGCGAGATAAACAAGGATACTTACAAGACGAATGTGACCAACCCAAAGACGAAAACATGAAACCCAGAGCTAGATATGTAACGGTAATTTTCACAAACTAGACAACTAACCAAATAAATTACGCGCAACCAATATATACGATATGCAAATAAATATAACAAGTACA